CCTGGGGTACTCACGTTTGGAATGGGGAATCGAAATTCATGGTGTTTCAGTAAATGGGAGCCCCATTTGGGCCCCATTTACTGTCAAATATGACACTGACAAGCGGGAAGTTTCGCACCTGTTCTGGAGATTTCTAGAACTATCTGGAATACCTGGAGAAAAGGATATAAGCGACGACGAGAACCAGACGAAGGAGAGTGAAGTGACAGCCGCGCCTGAGTGCAGAAGAGGTCAAACTCCGGGAGTCGGAAGAGCGAGTTTTCCGCCTGTTACTGTTATTGTTTGTGAAGTTGATGGTAATTTTGAAGTTAGTTTGTTCCTGTTCCGTAGTTAAAGTTGTACCGAGTGGAATAAAAGTTGTAATCAGAAGAAAGAATTTGATACTCGGCCATCCACGGTACAATATTATCTACTCCTATTTTAAGATTTATTAAAACCAATTTTTTTATATTGTATCTTAAAGTCGTTTAACTAAAGTCAAAAAGAAAATCTCTTAAGTGAGTCAAAAAATTCAGAAAAATAAAATTATATTTTAAACAGGGAACAAAGACAAGAATAAGAATTTGCGAATTGTCACTTACAGTTTTAGAACATACTTGACAAAAAATATTTTTATTGTTAATTTTTAGTTCGTTGTGACCCTTAATGACCCTCTTCAATGGTTGGCTTTTGTTTTGGCATTGTTACCGTTACTAGGTACAGCGAATTAAATCCAAGTACAGACGATACAAACAAAGTGGAGACCAGACGACCTCGTCGTAACTTTGGGGCTAAACTTTGGGGAATTACCTACGTGCGAACGGATTTTTCGGGGAATCACGCGACGCCTTGCAAAGTTGCCAAGTTTGCTTTATATGGACATTTATTCCCGTATAATGTTTTGTACTATTTTTAAAATTATTTAAGTATGCGGTAAATAGTTAAAATACGCACGAACGGACAAAAAAGCATAAAAACTTAAAAAAAGCAAAAAAGCATAATAAAAGCTATCGCAATATACTTGGTTTGGTATAATTCGTTTAGAAATTAAATAATCTTATGGTTGCTTATAAAATGCAGCAATAAGCAAAATGCATAAAATCCGGTCTTTACTAGTAACAATCCGGCTACTTGTTTCTTCACACAACGCTTTCAATTGAAGGGAGCAATTGAAAAAATCTGGACTTTGGAAAGAATTCCTACCGTTGCTAAACGGCCATTTTCTCTTAAAGGTATCGTAATTGAATAAATGTTTGTTAATTCGGTCAAAGTCCTTGAGAACGGTCCTTTTTGAGTTGACCTTCCGCTTAATCCTTAACCTCCATTCAGTTCCAGCAATTAGGCAATTCATTCTTACAAGCTTTCAAACGATTTGAGAATCTAGAAGAAATCCAAGTTTATTTGAAAAGTACCAGGTCTTTATTCATAAGTAGATTCCTCTAGGAGATC